TCCTTCTCCCTAAACAGAGCAGAGTAACACCTGAACCTCACATGGATGACTCGGAGTCATCCCAGATCGCAAGGGTCAAAGGAGCTGAGGCCATGTCAGAAAGATCCTCCCCACGGACACGGGAGAAAAGTGTGCCCCATCTAAGGCAAACACATGTGCCACCCGAACTCCAAACCACACAAATCTGAGCCTTCTGTATTCTCATCTAGAAAAGGATTTTCTATTTAAAAGTTCTCACCATTACATTCTTTTTTTGGTAAGTACCCCTCTAACACTTTTAAATTTTAACTCGGTTTACCCAAAATAAAAGTTTTATTCTTCTCAAAACCACATAAAACCATTTTAACCTTTTTTTTAACATTCTTTTTAAGTAGGCTCCACACCCAACGTCGGGCTCAAATTCATGACCCTGAGATCGAGAGTCACATGCTCCACCGACTGAGCCAGCTAAGCACCCCCACATAAAACCACTTTAAATTGTTTGAATTTCTTACTCTGTGTATTAGTTTCTCTCTCTCTCTCTCTCTCTCTCTCTCTCTCTCTCTCTCTCTCTCTCCCTCTTTCTCTCTGTCTCTCACAAAACCAAAACAAAAAAACACAGAACTACTCAATATTTTTTAGAAAGGAAAGGAAACAAAATTCCAAGGGCCCTTAAAAAATAGTAAGCACTGGTGTGCTTGAGAGGCTCAGTTGGTGAAGTCTCTCTCTGCCTTTGGCTCAGGTCATGATCCCAGGGTCCTGGGATCCAGGCTCGCACTGGGGTCCCTGCTCTGCAGAGTCTGCTTCTCCCTCTCCCTCTGCTGCTGCTCATGCTTGCTCTCTCGAAAATAAATAAATAAAACCTCAAAAAACAGCAAGCATTAAGAAGGGCAAGGATTTTGTATGATACTTCTCTATGGATCCCCTAGGCAATTAGGCCAGGGTTTTGTTTTGCTTTCCGTATACATAATTGATAAGACAATTTTGGAAGAAATCAATAAAAGCTACTTTTTAGAGTAAGATGCCTGCATATCTTAACTCATGGCATTAAGCCTGGGGTTTCCGCAGCCGCATACTCCTAATGGAATGACAGAGGGAAGGCAAGAAGTGCTGATGGGGTTTTTAGTTGTCTTAAAGAATAAAAAGCAAGAACACCACCCTTGCTCAGTGCAATTCGCTTCTGTTCAGATGGCAGAGATCAGTTAGTGTGAGCGTGGCTAAGTTAAGCCCTGGGACACAAGGCATATAATACAATCACTTCTGAGCCAATTTCGAGCATCTGATCCTTTATGAACAGACAGGTATGAAGCCTGGGAGCCCTCTCCTTCAGGGACAGGCCTCTGTGTCAGGCTGTCAGAAGCAAAAAGCCTGCACTGTGGGTGTTTCTGAGGCTGTCTGCACAGCTCCTGCTGGTGGAAGCAAGGGAGGAGACCAGCCTTCCCAGCACATTTCCACCAGTGAAAAGGCTGCTGCTGATGTGCATAATCTAAATGGCTAAAGAATCTGCAGAGTGCACTCCCAAACTACCTGCTTTTCACTTTGTCTGCAACCACAGGGAGGGCTTTGGGATTCCGGTCCGCAGGCCACTGGGGCTTCCACCCATGATGAGTGGGAGAGACCCAGCTTCAGGCTTCCCTGGACTGTGGCCACGGCCCGCACAGCTCCCCACAGTCACTCCTCCGCATAAAGAGAGGAGGCACCACACAAGGCACGAGACAGGGTTAACTCTGAGGAAAGGTGGGTTCTCAGTGTGGGGCTGGGGCAGGGGCACTTGGTGACTGGCAGGCTGAACGTGTCATTTCAAATCTGTGAGCCAGAGTGGGTGTTAGTGTGTGTGTGAGAATATGTGAGGGTGTGTGTGAGGGGAATGTGCAGGAGTCAGTGTGAATGTATGTGCAAGCATGTGTGAGGGTGAATGTATATGAGGGGGAACGTGTGTGAGTGTGTGGGGGGAACATGCATGAGGGGGAGTGTGTATGAGGGTATCTGTGAGCACTGAGGGTGCATGTGGGAGTGTGAGGTCGTGAGAAATGAGTGTGAGCACTTGAGTGCACTATGAGAGCAAACACATAAGAGTGAATGAGTGAGTGTGATCATGTGTGAACATGAACATGAGGGTGTGTGAGCATGTGAACGTGAGAAGGTAAGGCTTGTGAGCACTTAAAAGTGAACATGAACATGTGAGTGTGTGAATATGTGAGTGTGAGCACATGTGAGGGTGACCAGGTGGGGGTGTGTGAGTATGTGAGTGTGAGTGTATGTCAGTGTATGAGTGGGTGAGTGTGAGCATGTATGAGTGTGTGAGTATGTGGATGTGAGCGTGTGTGAGGATGACGGGTGTGTGTACGTGTGTGTGCAGGTAAGTGTGGACGGAGCGTGCGTGAGTCTGAAGGGCTGAGAATTGTGCACCCGCAGTGCACTGCAGCCCTCCAGGCAGAAGCAACAGGGTCCCCAGAAGAGAAGGGGTTCCTCAGACAGCACCCGCTCGGGTTTATCTATAAAGCACTGAGAGCACAGCCAAAAGGCCCAGTTGATCAAGATGTCTGGCCTTCTGTAGACAAAATAGCAATATCAGGTAATCACAGATAAGGTTCCACCATAACAATCTATACAAGAAAAAGAAAACCCACCTTACCGTGCAAGCATTCACCCAAAAGCTGAAAAGTCCCTAAGATCCCATAATTTCCAGTTGGCTGCCCACCCTTCCCCCACACACTCCCTCCCCACTGGCCCCTCCCCACCGGCCTCACGTGACTCAGAGTGAAGCTGGAGGGGATTTTTCCCTGGCTCTCCTCTGTGGGTGTCTGAAAACCTTTGGCAAGGTGGGAAGGAGGCTGGATACCAGGCAGGCCTCCTTTTTAAATTTTCATTTTAATTAATTTATTTTTAAATGTGGGGCTTGAACTCAGGACCCTGGGATCAAGACCTGAGCTGAGCTCAGGAGTAGGAGGATTAACTGTCAGACCCTGCCCACCACCGCCACCCCCCACCCCTTGCCTCACCTCTACCTGGGGACCTGTCTGCTAACAGAACACCACTCAACCATCTGACCTCTCAGTTGGCATCCCTCTGACAAATGAAAAAAAAATTAGCACCCGTCATTATTGATCTCCCCTTTAGCTGACTTCCTGACAACAGTCCTTTTCACACACCGGGACACAGAAGTTGTTTTGAGAAACAGCTAATAGGTGCTGCTAATCCACCACTAGAAAGGCCCAGTGGAAAGCTGGAGAACAAGTTAAAGCAACTTTGGCCGTGCCAGTGGCACTTCTGGGTTTTAAAAGCCAAGGGGAAGAGTGGAACGGAGGACCATCCCCTCCACTAGGCCTGTAATTGCTGGCACCAAGGTAGAGAGATGGGAGTCCCACCTGCCAGGAGCAGCACTTTACAGCTTGTCCACCTCTTTCCAGGTGTACCATCCCTCCCCCAAAGTTGGAGTCCCCGTGCCCGCAAGCCCTGGCCTGCCACAAAACGCCAGGGTGATGGGGCCCGATTTTGCATACACATTTGCCTCCCCTATCGTTGGCAGCAAGCAGAGTCTCAGGAAAAGCAATGCCCGGTCTTCAAAAATTCAGACTGTGATGAGTTAAGTGGGAGTCAAGAAGAGGGGCGTGCTTTGAGGTCCAAAATACCTTCGAGAAGGATGCAGAGTAGAAGCTTAAAGTTCTGAGTGGCCATGGTCAGAGATACTGGGGGACGATGAGCAGTATTTGATCTTCGAGATGAAGTCAGAAGGCTACCTACTACGATAAAATGCAGACTTTCCCCCAGGGTAGCACAAGAACCGCCCCCTCCCCCAACCCCCTTGCGCACTGAACTAGGAAATTCCCCATACTCTGGAAAAGTCAGAGAAAGTCCGGACCTTTTCAGAAGTGCTAGCTTCAACTTCAGCGTCTTCTGTAAAACACTGATCCTCCTCAGAGTGAAAACAGCCTGCGACTGAGATTCACTACGTAATAGAAATAAACCCCTGTCTACTGCCATGACCAGAATGTCAGTATGATCAATCAGAACAAATGCACTTGAAGGGCGCCTGGTGGCTCAGTCAGTTGAGCATCTGCCTTCAGTTCAGGTCATGATCTCGGGGTCCTGGGATCAATTTCCGCATCAGGCTCCCTGCTCATCGGGGAGTCTGAGTCTCCCTCTCCCTCTGCCCCTACCCTCACTTGTTCTCTCTCACTCTCTCTCTCTCAGATAAATAAAAAAAATCTTAAAACAAACAAAATGCATTTGAAAACATACCTGAGAAGTACCAATACCGGCCAATAAGCATAAGCATATGCATTAGGAGCTATCTAGCCTGGACGGATCACCCAGTGCCTCGCTCAGGCAATACAACCCAGTATAACATTCTGTTATTTAAAAAAAAAAAATTGTCTGCGTAGCTCAAAGCATGAGTTTTGTTTTTAATTCATACATCAAACTGTACCTTGGTTACACAGATCCCACAAATACTGCCATGTTCTGACTTAACCACCTGAGGCTGGGTGGTTCTTCACCCAGTCCACGGGCCACAAGCATATCTACAGGTTTCGGAGCCCTGTCACAGAATCACATGGCTCATTTTCCTGGTCTATTAGTAGAAGCAGAGGTAACTGGATGACCTTGTCAGTTTTCCTCCGCCCAAACGTATCACACAATTAAGTGTTTCACTTGATCAGACAAAAGCTATGCTCAGCAGCTCTGTTCATGATCTTCGGGGAATTATCGGGAAGCTTCTGGTAACACTCATGTATACTATCTCCCCGAGAAGTGAGTGGTGACCTGACAGGGAGGTCCCGTAAAATACTGTTTTTTTATGACGTACATGGAAGTAGCCGTCGAAGTGACTCAATTCACCATCCAAGCTACAGAGTGCATGGCCAGTGTGTAGGTACCTCCCCAGCAAACACCCCAGGAGAGGATCCTTGGTAAGTGGAGACTGCCCCAGGGCCCCGATCAGAGTCCTCTGGACTCAGTAGAGAGGACAAACAAGAGGGGCATGCAAATGAGTTGAGGGAAAATCTCAGAATGAGACTTACCACTCTGGGCTTCTGCTGGTCCAGGGTATGCAGGAAGGCAGAGTTGGGATCCAGGCAGCGCTCAGGGTCACTGGAGATGTCCTCCTCCGAGTCTTCATAGGAGGAGGAGAAGCCAGTGGAGGAGGCAGAGGAAGAGGACAGCTTCCTCAGCGGCAGGCTACCCCGAGGGCTTCCCTGTGGGTCCTCTAAGGTCCCGTCCTCCTGGGCACCCATGTCGGTAATGATGACAGCAGGTATACTGCTGGGGCTGCAAGCCTCTTTCAGGGAAGGCTGGTCCTTCTGATCTGGGGAGAGCAGCTCAGGGCTGGGCTGGGCGGCTCTGTCCTGCTGGGGGCTTCCCCAAGGGCCTTCCGAGGGTACCCCTGTGCCACACGTCCAGGCCAGATGGGCTGCCTCCACCGGCACGGCCACCCTGTCCCCTGAAAGGCACGGAGGTTCTTTCGGATCTTTTGCGGTTTCCCAGGAAGGCAAAGGCTCCAGCATTCCACCAGAGGCAATTCCAGCCTCCAACTCCCGGGTGGAGGCCCCTGAGCAGAGGCCCCCGAGCAAGCCCAGGGTGGTCGTGGGCGTCAGAGATCCTTCATCCGCCCCCCTGGAGCGCTGCGGGGGCTCCCCAACCACCGGGGCCCCACCCCGGGTCACCTCGGGGCCTCCGGAGGAGCCCGGGTCTGGAAGTGGCCTGACCCGGCTCTCAGAAAGCTGGGAGGGTGCGTTCACAGTCCCGTCCTCGGGCCTTCTGGCTTCAGGCGCCCCGGAGCCCCGCACGCCACCGCCACCGCCACCGCCACCGCCACCGCCACCAGGCGGATCTTTCTTCCCCATCTTCCCGGGGGGCTCTCCGCTGAGGGGCCCGCCCCTCTCCGGGGCCAGGCTTGTTGCACTGCCCAGAGGCTGCCACTGACTCTGCACCAGGGGCTCCCTCGGCCGCTCGGGGAGGCCAGGGTCGTGTGCATGGTGTGGCCCACTGGCTGTGGCTCTCGCTGCCACCTCTGCGGCCATCGCTAAGTTGACGCCGGGCAGCCCCAACGGGGGAGCCGGGCAGCTGCGTGTCCCCGAGGGCGGAGAGACCCTCTCGTCAGTTTCCATAAGTCGGGGTGCGCCACAGTGGGGTCTGGCGGGGCTCCCCTTCTCCATTCTTGCAGAAGCTGCGGCACCCCGCGCCCCTGGTTCCGACACGGCGGCCGGGCCGGGGAGAGGGGCCGCCCCCTCGCCGCCCTCGGAGAGGCACAGGCCCGGCGCCCTTCCTCTCCGGCCAGGGCCAGCCTCCGGAGTCTCCGGACATTGGTCCCCCCACGACTTTGTCCTGCGTTCCTCGCTCTGGGCCAGGGCCCTCCCTGGGGGCTGGCTGCTGCTGCGGAGGGGGCACGGGGAGGGCGAGCGAGCCCTGCCCAAACGCGGGCTGCGGGGCGCCAGGGCGGCGGAGCTCTGCGCCTGGATGTGCGCCTCGAACAGGCCCACTTTCTGGTTCACCTGCACGTTCTGCAGCTCGCGCTGCAGGATTCGCAGCTTCCTCTGGGCCTCCTCGGGCCCCGGGGGCGACAGGGACGCGGCGGTCACCGCCTGCTGCCCGTCCCCCGGCGGGCGGCCCGCCCAACTCGGGCTGCTCGGGCTGCCCACGCCGCCGCCGCCGCCGCCGCCGCTCAGCCTGCGCCGGCCGCTCCGCCAGCCCCCGGGGCTCCCGGGCTGCTCGGGCGACGACGACTCGGCTGGGGGGAAGAGGAAAGAGGCGCCTCTCCCGGGGCTGAAAACGCTGCCGGGGCTCAGCACGGCGCTCGCCGGCGTTGGGGGCGTCTCGCTGCCGCTGGGCCGGGGGCCGCCGCTCTTCACCTGCTCGGCGCTATTCATGATCACCAGGCTGTTGAGCGCATAGCAGTACACAGCCATAGTACTGGGTCCGCCGCGCTGCCCGCCGCCGCGGCTCCCGCGCGGGCTCCGCCGCCGGCGCCTCCTCCTCGCGCGGCTCCCGGCTCAGCCCCGGAGGCCCGGCGGCCGCGGCTGGGCGCGCCGAGGCGGTGGCATGGCCGGGGCTGCGGGCGGGGGGCAGCGCCGAGGGCCCAGCCCCCGCCCAGAGCTCCATACACTACAGCGCCGCTGTGGAGACAGACACAAGGACGACAGTCAGGACCGGGAGGGGTGAGGGCAGGGGCGAGGGGCGGCGGGCGGCGGGCGCTGCGCTGTCGGGGGGCGCCGCCGCTGGACGTCTCGGCCCCGGGGGTGTGCGGCTGCGTGTCCCGAGCGCTCCCCCCGCCCCCAGGCTGTGATGCGCTTGGGGGGAGGGTCCCCACAACGTCCTGATTGTAACAGTTCTCCCCGAGCCACACGGGCCGGCGGGCGGGCTGGCGGGGGCCCGCGGAGGCTGCTCGGTTCCTCCGCACGCTGCGCGCGGGCGCGGCGGACCCGGATGCCTCCGAGGGCGCGGACGGCCGGTCCGCCGTGTGCGGGTCTCCTCGGCCCGAGCAAACCGGGCTACGGACGGGAGAAAGGGCAACGCTCCCCGGGGCCGCAGCATCCGCCGCTCCACCCTCCCGGGCCGCAGGGACTCTCTCGGGGGGAACCCGAGCGGGACCAGCCTCCCCAGCTACCTGCGCCGGGCTGCAGGGGGACGCCTGCGCGCCGGCCGTTAACCCCCCTGGCCCCGGGCTCGGGGCTGGGCCCCTCGGCCTACGAAGGCCTGGGTGCACCGCAGGGCCGCCGCCAAGGCAGTTTCCAGCACTGGCCTCGTCGCCTGTCCCCAAACAAGTGTGTTTTGGGAGTGTGGGCGCGCCTGCGCGCGCCCGGAGCCGAGGCGCTGCACGTCCCCGGTACCGGAACCAACACTCGCAGCCCCTCGCCGCCCCTCGCCGCCCCTGCCGGCGCCCCCCGTGGAGGGGTGTGTGTGTGGACGCGCACGGGGAGGCGGCCCTCCGCACGCCCTGTCCGAGGACGCGGCTGGGACCCGCGCGCCCGCAGCCCGGAGGGAGCCCCGGCTCCGCGCCCCTCCCGCCGCCGCGCTCCAGGGCCCGGCCCGTCCGCATCCCGGAGCGCGCGGGGAAGGCGGAGGCCGGGGGTGGCGGCCGCCCGGGAGGGCCAGCCCGGGGGGGGGGGACGCCCCGAGCCCCTGCCCCCTCCCGTCCCGCGCCCCGGCGCCCGCCGCCCTCCCAGCTCACACCCGCTCCGCGTCCCCGCAGCCCACCGCTCCGCGCCTTCCAGACCCCGGAACGCCCGGGCTGGCTCCGGGCACGGCCGCGCAGGGGAAGAGAGGGCGCGCGGGCAGGAGCCGCGAGAAAGCCGCCACACTTACCTGCAAGGTCTCGCTGCCCGGGCCCGTGCAGACTCCACGGCCCAGGGACGCAGACCTCGGAGGAACAAGATGGCTTGAAAAGTGAAAAAGCTCACGATCGACCTCCCCAGCGAGCTACGGAAGACAAGAAAGGGGGGGGCGCGATGGCCGGGAGACTGCTCCCGGGCAGGGGCCGCCCCGCACGCCCGGCTCGGCCGCGCAGATCCCCCCTGTCACTGTCCGCTCCGGCTACTTCAGTGTTTGTTCAATGTGCGATTAAAAAAAAAGGTGGGGGGGGTGGGGAGGGAGGAGGGAGAGAGGCGGGGGCTTGGGGGAGGAAAGCAGGAAGGAAGTTGTGAGCCCGTCTGGGGTTGAACTCAGCGGAACAAGTTTTTCTTTTCTTCTTTTTTTTTTTTTTCTATTGCTTGGCAAGACCGAGGGAGGGAAACACTTAAAAAAAAAAAAAGTTTCCATTGTTAGCTAACAACAAAAAAAAAAAGTCTTTTAACTTCTGCGGGTTAAAGATACACGATTCATTTTCCACCCCTCCACGGAGCCTTGCCGATGTCTTGCTTATTTTTGAAAAATGTTTTTAATAAAGTTTTGAGTGTGCGTTTAAGCAAAGCAAATCTTGGGGACCTGTTTAGCCTTTAAAACCGGCTGAGATCATGTATCCACCGTGTGGTGTGTGTTCTCATATACAAATATGCAAATTCGAAATAGGTACTTTGTGGGCGCCTCCTTGCAAAGCTGCAGATTTTAAATGCATCGTGTAGTATTTTGGAAGATTGTTGGGCTGTGAGCTGTGGATGGTTTTGCAGAGCGATTGCTAGTTGTATAAACATGCCTGGACCTTGCATACTTATCTCTTACTAAATGCACACAGCAAGTGTGACATTGGCATATTTTAGTACTTCGTGTTCAGTTATTTTAAGAAAAGGGGGATTCCTGAAACTAAGAAAGCCTGAGACCCTTCAGTCTCTTGTAGCTGGATCATTTTAGAGAGCCTCCCCGCCCCCCCCCCCCCCACACACACACACCATCAACAGTAAAAAGGGGTTGAGGACAGGGGAGCAAACCCCCTTTGAGCTCTGGTGCTGCAAGTGTGTTTTTCATAATGCTCTAAATCCTAAACTACAGCATTTAGTAGAAAGAGTGAAAACACAGCTGCCAGGCTCCTGAGATTTAAAAATCTAAAGCCTGAATCAGTCCTTACATTCCTCTTAGGTAAAATTTAGATGGAAATTTTGACCTTGTTTGTAGCAAATGCATCTCTTGCTTGTTTATGGAACAATATTGTTCAAGTGAGCAAAGCAGCCTGCTGCTCAGTCAGGAAAAGACTCATGTCAAATCTGAAACCAAGAGCACTTTCAGCTAAGAATTTCTGGGAATCAGACATTTTGAGTCCTTTCTAATTTTTTTTCTCCAAATATGCCATGAAAGGATGGAGCCTAGTTACTCTCCCACCCACGATGGGGCTAACTAAAAGGAGCCCAGGCTTTATTCAGGTGTTGAGTGGGGATCTGGGCAGTTGCTAAGGCAGGGACCTCAGGCCTATCCTTGACCCTAATTCCCTAGTGGCAAGAAAGAGGAGCTGCCAGTTCCCAGGAGACCCATTCTATGGACTTCATTTCTGACTGTTCCAGAAGATGCAAACCCCCCATATCAGGTGTCATTGCTAGGGAAGACCTAGAAATGCATACAGTGAGCATGGAAATTTAGCTTCGCAGCCCCTGGGAAAACTCACTGTCACCTCACAGCTAGAGACGTCAGCAACCTTTCCCAGAACTGAGAAATGCAGGCTTCTGGAATGTATAATTAGCCTGAAGAATTTTTGCTCAGAAAGGAGCCAGAACCCGGTCAGAGGTGGCACACAGAAAGAATTGGGCTGGAGGTAGAGCCAGATGACAATTCTGGCAGTCTAAAGTTCTACCTGCATTACCAAGAGCACGATGAATGGCGAAAAGATGGAGCAAACCCGTACCTGGAAATCAGCACGGTCAACTTGCCTCCTGAAGCAGAATCTAGCTGTCTTCCATGATGTTGAATGAGCATAGGGGGTTGGGGCGCTGGGTGGCTCAGGCAGTTAAATGCCTGCCTTCTGCTCACATCATGATCCCGGGGTAGTAGGATCGGTAGTAGGATCGAGCCCCACATCTGGCTCCCTGCTCTGCAGGGAGTCTGCTTCTCCCTCTCCCTCTGCCTCTGCCTGCCAGTCCACATGCTTGAGCTCTCGCTCTCTCTCTCTCTGTTAAATGAATAAATAAAATCTTAAAAAAAAAAAAAGGATGGGGGATCCCTGGGTGGCTCAGCGATTTAGCACCTGCCTTCAGCCCAGGGTGTGATCTGGAGTCCCGAGATCAAGTTCCGCATCAGGCTTCCTACATGGGGCCTGCTTCTCCCTTTGCCTGTGTCTCTACCTCTCTCTTTCTCTGTGTCTCTCATGAACAAATAATAAAATAAAATCTTAAAACAAAAGAATGAACATAGGGGGAAAATATTATATAGCACTTCTTATCAGTCAGGCACTGATTATACATTTTAATCTTCAGAACCCTATGAACTAGCTACTCTGATTATCCCCATTTTGCAGATGAAAAAAATAAGGCACAGTAATCTACCCCCAAAGCCCATAGCTGGCAAGTCGCAGGGCTTGAATTTGAACCTGCACAGTCTGGATCTAACATCAGTGCTTGTGACTATTTCTCCATATCCTTTACTAGATACCTACAACGATAGGGAAAGTTTGCCTAGCTTTCCCAGGGTTTCCATCTTCCCACTTTTGAGATGGAATTTTAAAAATCATAGCTATGAAACTAAGAACAGAAAGGGAATTTCCTCAACTTGACAAAGGGCATCTCTGAAGAAACCTACAGCTAACATCATACTTAGTGGTGAAAGGCTGCACTGGCCCCATAGGGTCAGGAGCAGTTAAGATGTCTGTTCTTACCACTCCCATTCAATATGGTACTGGAAGTCCTACTCAGTTAGATGAGAAACAGAAATAAAAGGCATCCAGATTGAAAAGCAAAAAGCAAAACTCTATCTACAGTTGTTACGATTATTTATGTGGAAAATCCGACGGAGTCCACAATAGAGCTCTAGGACTAGTAGGTAAGTGAGTTTAGCGAGTATATTAATTTGCTAGGACTGTGGCAACAAAGTGCCATGGACTGAGTGGCATAAACAAAAGAAACCTTTTTGCTCACAATTCTGGAGGCAAGGAGTCTGAGATCAGGATGATGGCAGGTCTGGCTTCTTCTGAGGCCTCTCTTCTTGGCCATCTCCTCCCTGTGTCTTCACATGGTCTTCTCTGTGTCTGTATACCACTCTCCTCTTCTGATGAGACATCGGTCATATTGGATTAGGGCCCACCCAATTTTACCTAAATTACCTCTTTAAAGACCCTACTTCCAAATATAGCTACATTCTGAGGTACTAGGAATTAGAAGTTCAACACACAGGGGCAGTCCCGGTGGCTCAGTGGTTTAGCGCCGCCTTCAGCCCAAGGCATGATCCTGGAGGCCTGGGATCAAGTCCCACGTCGGGCTCCCTGCTTGAAGCCTGCTTCTCCCTCTGCCCGTGTCTCTGCCTCTCTCTCTCTCTCTCTCTCTCATGAATAAATAAATAAAATCTTTAAAGAAAAAAAGAGAAGTTCAACACATACATTTTGAGGGCACCTAATTCAGCCCATAACAGCCGTAACAGATCAAGACTTCACAATCATGTGTCCCTAGATTAGCCATGAAAAATCAGAAATCAAAATTTGAAAGAATAATACTTATACTAACAACAGGAACTATGAAATACGCAGGAATGACCATGGTAGAAGAAGTGTGATACCGCAGAATTAAATCTGCAGAACACTACCGATGAAATTCCAAGGCCTTAAAAGAACAGAGAGATACTCCACGTGCATGAGCTGGAGGACTCAGGATTGTGACAATGTCAGTTCTCCCCAAATTAATCTACAGATTCAGTGCAATCCTGATCGATATCTTCCCAGAGGTTTTTTATTTTTGTAGAAACTGACAATCTGATTTATAGCTTCCAAGGGAGATACAAAGGATCTGGATTCAACGAAACAGCTGTATAAAAGAACAATGTGGAATGACTACCACTCTCTGGTTTCAGGACTTATTATAAAGCTGTCTTCCCAAGACAGCATGATGTTGGCATAAAGTTAGACAAATAGACAAATGTGACAGAATGTGTAGTCCAGAAATAGGTACACAAAAGTGGAGAAAAGAGTCTTTTGACAAATAACAGTGTAACAACTGGATATCCTTATGAAATTCCACAATGGTACAAGTCCAGATTTTGTACCATATACAAAAATTAACTCAAAATGACTCATAGATCTAAGTATAAAACCTAGAACCATAAAACTTTTATAAGAAAATATAAGAGAAAATCTTTGGGATCTTCGGTTGAGCAAATATTTCTTAGGAAACCGAAGCATGATCCACAAAAAAAAAAAAAAAAAAAAAAAAAGTTGGCAAATTGGATTACATTAAAATTAAACCCTCTTCTTGAAACAAGTGAAAAGACAAGCTACAGACTGGAAGACAATATATGCAAAGTGTAAATTTGAAGATTGATTTATTTATTTTAGAGAGAGAGAGAGCAAGCAGGGAAGGGGCAAGAGGGAGAGGGAATCCCTAAGCAGACTCCCCACTGAGCAAGGAGCTGGATCAGGGGCTTGATCCCAGGACCCTGAGATCACAACCTGAGCTGAAATCAACAGTCAGCTGCTCAACTGACTGCGCCACTCAGATGCTCTGCTAAGTGTATATTTGATTAAAGGCATACTATCTAGAATATATATAGAACTCTTAAAACTCAATAATCAGGGATCCCTGGGTGGCACAGCGGTTTGGTGCCTGCCTTTGGCCCAGGGCGCGATCCTGGAGACCCGGGATCGAATCCCACGTTGGGCTCCCGGTGCATGGAGGCTGCTTCTCCCTCTGCCTGTGTCTCTGCCTCTCTCTCTCTCTGTATGACTATCGTAAATAAAAAAAATTAAAAAAACCTCAATAATCAGAGAATGTAAAAAATGGGCAGAAATCTGGGCTGACCCTTCATCCAAGGAGGTATGGAAGTGGCAAATGTGCATTGAAAATATATTCAACATTAGTAGTCAATAGGGAAATGTGATTTAAACCACAATGAAACACCCTTACATGCCTATTTTAAAAACAAACCTGGTGAGGATGTAGAGGAAGTGAGTTCTCATATGCTGCTGGTGGGAATATCAGTGACATTGCCACTTTGGAAAACAG